CTCTCTCTCTCTCTCTCTCTCTCTCTCTCTCTCATTTTCCCCCAGGGAGGGCCTGTCAATCTCATCTCTTCAGAGAACCAACCTGCGGTTTTACGGACCTTTAGTTTCTGGTTCACTGATCCTGCTCTGCTCCCGCCCTTCTCCCTCCCTGGTTCAGCTCAGTGGGTCCCTGTTTTCCTGAGACCTCGGGAGGCACCAGCTCATCTGGGATCAGTTTCCAACTCCTCGCTCCCAACTTCCCCTGGAGTCCCGCGGTTTTATCCCGTGGTCTTGCAGGTCGCTTCTCCATTTTCATTTCATTTGTGAATCCCCCCCCCCATTTCACCGGTGGCCACTGACCGTTCATGAGTGACCGTCCCGTCTCCTTGTGTCCCTGTCATTTCTGTCATTTCCCTCTGTCGGATCCTAGTTTCATTCCAAGTTTCATTCCATTACAATCTGTAAGAAATCGTGGTGATTGTGCTGCCCTTGTTGATCCTTGATTTACGGCCTAAGAGATGAGCTCTTTTGGAGAAAGAGAAGTTCTCTTTGTGGTTCTGATGGGCCTGTCCCTCCCCTGGACACGGACCCAGCACGAGACCCAGACCTGCCAATCAAAGCCTTTCCCGGGGTTTTCTTTTTTCTCCTGGGAGGGGGGGCAGTGCCCTGAAGCCCGAGGTGACTGATAGAAGCCTGGAGCTGAGAAGGAACAGACAARGACATCTGGGTCCCGGTGTCTGGATGCCTCCTTTCCAGGACTGAGCCAGTGAGTTCTGGTTTAAACCGGCCTGAGATCRTTTACTGACAACCAAAGTAGCTGCGGAGACCTGCGTCATCAGTTTCCCCTTTACTGACCGCGGTTCCCTCTGGTGAGCGGGACACCTTCCTGTCCCTGCCGGGTGCCTGGTTCTGCCTCCCGGCGCCCCCCCCCACGGCCAGCAGGGCCAGGGGCCAAACACGGGGGAGGAGCCACAGGGAGGGCAGGCCACCGGGAGGCTCCTGTGCTCCCCATGCCCGCCCCCGGCCGGGCTCCCAGGCCAGACCCTCGGCAGCCCCAAGATGCCGGACATGCCACCCTCTGGCCTCCCGATGCTGCCCAGACCAAGTCCTTCAGAGGAAATAAGAAAATGACCAAGGGGACCTCAGAGACGATGCCCGCTCTGCCCACTGCCCGCTGCCTCCCACTGACCTGTCTGAAAACCCCAGCCTGAGCCCATGGCACACCGACAGGCCAGGCCCCGGGACGCTCATCCCTTGGGGGTAGCTAGTGGGTGCTCCGGGCGCCCGCCAAGGCCGCCCTGTGAGCCGGGCTTGCTGGGGACAGTAGCTCAGCCGCTGGGAGTGTGCTCCCTCTCCCTTCTCTTTTTGAAACAGTTGCTGGTGCCTCAGGCTCAAATGTACTGAGCCAAACCTGGTTTACCACGGAGACAATTTCAACGTTTCCCAAGAAACGACCTTGAGTTGAGCAGAACTGGGGGAGGGACRCAGGTTCAAGGTCCCGGGTTCGCCAGGCTGGGAGTTGACATCCGGGCTCCTGAGCCTGAACAGCCACCAACTCAGCCTCCCGCTTGGTGGAGCACGTCGCAGATGGGAGCCTCCGTTTTCTCTGGAGGATTTCGTTTGTATCAGTGAGTTTCACTGTGTAACAAAACAGCCCGCACATGGGTGACTTAAAGGACAAAGGCCTTAGCAAGTCGAGAGGCCTTTGAATGTTCCCAACTCAGAGGGAAGGTGAACACTCCGCTGGGCCGATCATCCTGATGTGGTCACGATGCCTCGTGTCCAGTGTCAGAAGACCACAGCGCTCCRCGAATACGCACCGTGAGGTCTCAATTAGAAACGAAACTTGGAAAAACGACGGTTTATTATTTCTCACGATTCTGAGRGTTGGACAGTGAGGGTGGCTTGGCTTGGTGGCCTCCCTCGGGAGACCGCAGTCAGGAGGCAGAGGGGACGCTGGGCCTGTCTCCACGGGCAGAGACTGAGGGCCAGCCCAGGGTCCAGGGGAGGAGTCACCTTGGCATCAGCAGCCCGGGGCCAAGGAGAGCAGAGCTGGCTCCTGCCCCTCCCCCACCTTCTCCGGAACCTTCCCCGGAACCTTCCATCCCCTCCCCCTCCCCCACTCCCTCAGGCACTCCTCACCTGACCGCCCTGGCTCTCCCCACGTCTTGTCAGAGGCCGGGACCCAGGGTGGCCTCACCCTCACAGGCCTCCACAGGACGGGGAAGCAGATGAACAGACCCCGCGGGCCTCGGGGTTCCCGGATGAGGGTCTGCTCGTTGGTAATTCTTAACCTGCACCTTTTTCCATGAAGAATTTCAATCAAGCTGCAGAAAAGGCTCCAGCAAAGCGATCGTGAGTTTTAACCAATGAAGAAAATCGAAGCCAAGAGGAGGAAGTGTTTCTGGAGCAGCTACTGCGTCCCAAGCACCCCACACATCGACTCAGGCCATCTCGGCCATATCCCCGGGGTGAGCATGATCGCCCCTTGTACAGGTCAGCAAAACGAGGCTCAGTGCAGACTGGCCCGAGCTCACACGGGTCCTGAGTGGCAGAGCTGGGAGTCAAACGGCCCGAGGYCCATCTGCTGTCAGCACAGCCTGGACGAACCTCAGATTTGATGAAGAGTTTCCCAGCAGCCCTAGAGAAAGGGGAAACAGGACCTACTCCCCACCCATCCCTCSACAGGAAGAAGCCACACGTCTCTGAAGGAGCAGGAAGCCCTCCCTGGTGCTCAGTGAACGGGACTTTTCTCAAGTGGGAGCCGATGAAAGGAGCTTTGGGAGCGGAACATCCTGGGCTCAGCCAGGACGGGACACTCCTGGCCTGCCTCGGGCTCCTGGGCAAATGCCGAGCTGGGGGAGCAGGTGCTGTCCCCAGCAGTCCTCCCTGGGTGCATGCGGCACCTGGGTGTTTCCTTCCGTCTGTCTGTCTGTCTCTTTATGCCCCTCGCTCTCTTCCCTGCGGTCCCWTCCCCGCTCACACCCCACATGCAGAGGTCCTCAGCAGAACTGATGGAGGAAGTGCCGCTGCAGACCCGCCACTTCCTCCCACGTGGGCTGGGCGGGGCCGGAGGAGGCTGGCACAGCCAGGTGACACTCCCCGCCTGGCCACCAAGCAGCTGCCGGGTCAACGCCCTGGAGCAGGGCCACCTTCCCCCAGGGCCTTGGGATGGACCTGTGTCACCCAGGTAAGCGCCACAGCCCTGGGGCCTCTGTGTCCTCCTCTGCTGCAGGGTGGGCAGGGACCTGGCCCGCGGTGTCCTGATTGTCACACGGTGGGAAAGGCAGGACCTTTCTGCCTCAGGGCGTGGGCAGAGCAGCACCGTCCCAGCCCCCTGGGCTTCTGCTCTGGGGGACATGGATGACAAATAGACTTCAGTGGCCAGTGTCTGCTGGTGGACCACGGGAGAGCAAGTGGCACAGCAGGATGGGGAAGAGGGCAGCAGGAATGGGCCCCCGGGGGGACACCACTGACCAGAGAAGGAGGGGAGAAGTGGCCTGCAGGGCATCCAGGGAAAGAACGTTCCAGGCTAAAGGAACGGCCACCCCCAAGGTCCAGGGCTGGGACTGAGAAGGGCCACATCCCTGCACCGGGCGTCTCGGAAGTCCACCTAGAAGATGGCACTGGCTGCAGGAGCGTCCGGTGCCYCAGGTTCGGGTGACCCTGACCTTCACCAGCAGCAGCACATGGGCACCCAGAGGGGAAGCCCAGGGGCTCTGGGGACGGGACAGGAAAACCTCGGTCCCTTTCAACAACAGGCAGGAGGGGACGGCCTCGGGAGGCAGAGGCCGGAGGATTTGGCCTCCCCCAGCTCCTGCCTCCCTCCTGMGTCCAATGCTCCTGTGGACTTTCGGGGCCACTGGCTCCGTCCTGCACGGGCTGTGACCACAGCTCAGGGGACAGCTAGAAGGCAAGAGGAGAGGYGCGAGGGCAGGGCTGGGCTGGAGGTCACTCAGCGGATGTGGAGGTGGAGGGTGAGCCGGGCGGCAGCCACCAGCCGTGCACSGTCATTACTTTTGAGTCCCACCTAGGGACGTCCCAGGGATGGCTGTCCCCAGGGTGCAGACAAGGAACCCGAGGCTCCGGGGTGGCCTGGTTGCCRGGTCCTGGCAGTAAGGAGCAGCGCAAGGGCAGGAGCCGGGGAGCCGGAGGGCCGGTCGCGGGGCGGGAGGCCCGGCGGAAGGTGGGCGCTGCCTGGCTTCCGCGGCCCTGGGGGAAGCGGGAGGGCTCTCCGCGGCTCGGTGGAGGTCTCCTCCTCCGTTCATCCTGTGACCACCTCCTGGGGCCGTGTGATGCTGGGACAGCACCGTCCCTGCCGCCGGCCTTCCTGTGGGGCAGCTGCTGGCCCAGGTRTGGGCCGGTGGGAAGGGGGCCAGGCTCTGCGGGCTCTGAGCAGGACGCGGCAGTGGGCAGACCTGGGGGAAGCCACTCTCCCCCGGGACRACTCCTGGGGAGGTGGCAGCAAGGGCGCCACCCCCGCCACCAGACTGGGTCTCGGTTGGCGGTGTCATCTCAGATCTGGCCTGACCGGGGAGGTGGGGTGATCGGGGACTCTGGGTCAGGCAGGTGGACACGGGGTCCGGCCTCCCGGGCTCCTGCTGGCCCTTCTACCTCTAGTGTGGACAGTGTGGCAGCCAAGGTCCCCAGCGCTGCCCGCCTCCGGCAGGGGACGTGTGGGGAGTGGTCAGGCCCCTCCCCGGGGCCCTGTGGGAAGGTGACAACCGCAGGAGACCCCGTGGCGCTGCACAGCCGGACACAGGGGTGCCCGCCAGGCGTGGGGGTGGCGGGGCGGCCCCTCCTGCGCTGGGACTTGCAGGGCCTCCTGCCTGGGTCTGGGAAGGGGAAGTGGCCCAGCTGTCCTGGAAGCCGGGCCATGAGCGCAAAGGTTTCTAAAAATACAGAGGGAAAGAGGAAGGGAGAGAGGGAAGTGCAGAGGCGCCGGTGGGCACCGGGCACACAGCTGCCCCAGGCACGGGCAGCCGCAGGCCCAGCCAGGAGGGAGTGGCCCGCGGCCAGTGGGATTGGGACYGCGCTATTTGTGTGTATTTTTATTACCACAAACACATCTCCCATGAGCCCACACGGTGACAGTAATGTCACCACCACCAGGTGGAATCAGAGGTGGCCTCTCTTGGACAGTGTCCTCAGAGTGGAGTGGGGGGGAAGCTCCACCTTAACAGATGAAGGGTCAGAGACCCTTGGGTCCCGCAGGCCCCAAGCCCGTGACAGCGGAGGAGGCCCCCAGATAGGCCCAGGTGTGAGTCCCAGTTCTGCCACCTCCTGGCTTTGTTGCCTTGGAAGCTCTCTCAACCTCTCTGAGCCTCAGGTGCCTCACCTGTGTGATGAGGTTGGAAACACCTTCCTACAGAGTCGTGCAGGAGGAGTGGACGGGACAGCAGGGAGCACGCAGGGCCAGCTCACAGCAGGCSCTCAGCAAGTGCCCCTTCCCTTAGCCAATGGCACGGCTCGTCATGAGCCACGCCCATCCCAGAAGCGCAGTGAGGCATGAGAAGGGGGCAGGAGGGGATGGTGCCCAATGGGCACAGGAGGTTGGCGGAGAGGAGACTGGGGAGTGGGCGGAGCTGACCGGCGGAGGAAGGGCGTGTGGGTGGGARGGCGCAGGGCAGCCGGGGAGGAGGCACGGAGCCCCGTCCTTGGGTGGGGACCACCGTGGGCTGCTGAGCCCAGAAGGACCTAGGGCCTCTGTCCTCAGGACCATGGGACGTCGTGGGACACTGGGGTAGGACAGCAGAGGACCACAGGGAGACAAGGGAACCATGCAGGCGTTCCAAGGAGATGAYGGTGGTCAGGGTGGGGCAAGGTGGGAGGGGAAGGAGGGGGCAGGACCGAGGGCGTAGGGGCTCCTGGGAGCGAGGGGCTCCTTCCAGTGCCCAAGGTGGCCCATGTGCAGGGACGTGCGCTGGCAGCTCAGAGGCAGCTGGGACTGGGGACGCGAGTCTCTGGCCCATTAGCAGAGGTGACAGCGGAGCTCAGGAGAGCCCGGAGGGGTTGGCCCGGACCCACCATCCAGCTTGGCAGAGAAGGCCAGCCCCTCGCGCYGCCTCCCCACCAGGTCCCTGTCATGCAGACGGCCCTTAGTCTTCCATGCCTCCATGTCCCCCTTGAGAACCCGGCGGCCCTGAGCAGAGCCTCGGTGTCAGTGAACTGGGACTTGATCCCAGCACTACCCAGCTCGGCCACAATCTGGCTGTGTGACTAGAGCATGTCATGTCACCGTTCTGAGCCTCCTTRTCTTAAAATGGAAAACACCTACTATAGAGTCACGAGGACCAGGTGACACTGTGCACAGAGCCGCAGGCACGGCGCAGGTGTCCACGAGCGTAAACAGTTCCGTGGGAGACTGGGGCTAAGGCTCAGCGGTGGAGCGSCCGCCTCGCACSTGTGAGGCCCGGGGTTCGATGCTCAGCACCACRTAAAATAAAGTAAAGGTCCCGGGTCCCTCTACTATTCCATGGGACTCGTGCCTGGTACCCTGCCAGCCCCTGTCTCCCAGGGGAAGCAGGACCTCTAGACATGCAGCATTGCAGGGACAAAAAGCAGCTCCCGGGAGGTCACCAGGAGGTGCTACACGTGGGGCGGTCTCCCTCCTGCCCTTGGCCCCTGTGCGGGATACAGTGGAGACGCCCAAGACAGCCCGGGAGAGGCCTAGCTCGGGATGGGTGGGGCTTAGCTCGGGACAGGCAGGGCCTATTCCGGGTGGGCGGGGCCTAGCTCAAGGTGGGCGGGGCCTGGCTCRGGGTGGGTGGGGCCTAGCTCCGGGTGGGCAGGTCCCCCACCAGGCAGGCGGCCAGGCTGCACCTCCACGCCATCCATGAGGACAGTGCCTTCCAGTGGGGACACGTGTGAGGACTGGTGGGTCCCAGGGACATAGGCTCACCCCATGCTACCTTTACTCTGAAGGGGTCCCTTGCGCTCCACAATGTGACGTCACATGGTGTTCTCTGTAAGCCCTTGGACGTGGCACTGGCSGAGGCTCTGTGGACAGAAAGGCAAACATGCCCGGGGTCAGGACGCCTGCGGCTCCAGGCAGCATAGTGTTCTTGCTGAGGTCCAGTGGCATCCGTTGGCCACCTCRTGGCGGCTTGGCCTTCTGGAGAAACCGTGGTTCAGTGTCCACTCAGTGGTTAGACATTCAGTGTGACAGTGRCTGGGGGTGCCCTGGGGCRTGGGGCCAGAGCCTCCCCCAGGGCACGAGGCTCCTCCATTCATACACCCCTGTACCCCACAGGGCGGCCCGGCGGAGGCTGGCCCAGGCCTTGGTGCAGGAGGCTGGCCCAGGCCCTGGTGTCAGGGGGTGGTTCTGTGTGTCCTGCGAGGACGTTTGGAGGACCATGAGTGTCGGGCACAGAAGCCTCCCACTCTGCCCACCCCAGGGCACCCCCTCCCCTCTCAACACCTGCACCCAGGCTTCCTTCCTCCTGGCCCTGGTAGGAGGCCAGGCACTCGCTGCTGCCCACGAAAGTGTCTGTCCTTCTCTCAGGCCCCTTCTTTCCACAGGCAGTGGGTGGCCAGGTGCCACCCACAGCGCTGCCCTCCGGGTCTCCTGCCCGCTGTCTCGGGGACACCTCCCGCAGGCCTCTGGCTCTCAGATCTGCAGTTTCTCCTCGACCCCAGCACTGACCAGCCACCTGCCACCAGGCTTGGGGGTCTCCCCCTCCTCACGAGCTCACAAGGGGCAGGACCCCAGAGCTCCAGGGACACGGCCAGCTCTCCCAAGAGCCTGGGCCTCCCCAGGGCCTCCGCGCCCTGTACTCCCTTGGCTCATCTGTTCGCTGAACGCACTGTCACCATCGGTGGCCAGGTCCCCTCTTGACTCTGTTCTGACAGGGGCAGGAGAGCCGTCTGATCCCAGGTGTCCACCTGACTGTGCCCATTCCGTCCTCGGTCCCCACACAGGACAGGAACCTACCTGCCAGGTGACRGTCCGAGCCCTCTCAAGGGGCTGGCCAAGAGCCCACGCCCAGCGCTGCACCACCTTTCCTGGCCAGGGGTGGGCTCCGCGGTCAYCCTCCAGACTGGTGGCCAGCTCAGAGCTGTGGTCCCCAGGGTCACAAGGGGGAACGGGCCCTGGGGGCAGTGCTCACCCTGCCCCACCCCCGGGACACGGCCTCACGTTTTACTGGCTCTTAGCTGGGCCCGGGGCAGCGCCAGGGGCTCCCCACAGCCTTCCCCCGGTGATGACCCGGCCCCATAGTGCCAGGGTGAGGTCCAGGACCAATGTCCACTCCACCCCACGTCTATAGACCAGGAAAGTGGCCGTGAACCAGGTGGACCCTGGGCAGGCTGGACCTGGCCAGAGCCCTGCTCACGATCTGGCCTCTGAAGGCCCCACCCTGATGGGACCCAGGTGACACATTTGTCCGAAGTGCCCCTGTCAACCTGGGTCCTGTGGCCAGCATCCTCAAAATACGTGGAGAGCCCCGTCCCCCTGTGTGGGGCAATAGGTCACAGGTGCTTTTTTACAAAGAACAGGAAGTTGTCACCATAGATATTCGCCACCGTGTCATAGGGGCAGGCCTGAAAACTGGGTCAAGTCAGAAATGAAGGGAGGGGGCTGCACTTTTAGTGGAGTGGCTGTCCCTGGGAGGGGACATGCTGGGGCTGAGCTGGCTAATTCCCAGGGAGGGACCTGGCTGTGAGCCATGGGCAGGCTGCACCCCAGCGGTGGGGGGACAGGTGGCTGGGTCCTGAGGAGGACAGCTGGGCACTGTGCATGGGCTGGACCTTCCTATGTGCTGGATACTTGAGGGTGTTTCACATTCCTGACAGCCACCCTCTGAGGTAAGGCTCACATTTCACAGGTAAGGACACTGGTGAGTCAGGCTCAGGTTTAGCTGCTGTAACAAAGAGACCAGAATAACAGCAACCAAAGTGTTCTCAAAACTCAGTGTTCTCTCAGAAAATCGTCCAAGGAAGGAGGTGGCCCCACCTGGTGGCCTGGGGACTCAGGCCTCTGGCTCCTTGTGGTTCCATTCCCTGTGGAGAGTCCAAGGTGGCTGCTCAGGCGATGCAGTGGGGCGCGGGAGTCACGGGGTCTTCTCTCCACGTTCACTCAGGGGAGGTGAGGTCTGTCCTTGTGAAACCTTTGAGAACTGTGACCAGCACCTTCGAAGGCTGGGACAGGACATGGGGATGGACAGACAGGGGCAGGCATCCCGAGAGGAGGGTTGGCCTGGGCAGAGCGGGAGGTGACCGAGGGCTGATGCTTTGGGGTGGGGCAGCAGCTGGACGCGGGGCTCTGTGGATAACGGTGAGCACGAAGGCGGGGACTGGGGACACTAGGGAGCCCCAGGGCCAGGAAGGGGACGTTTCTCCCTAAGGGACAGGGAGTCCGGGAGCTCCCGACCAGAGAGTGCGGTGGCTGGGGAAGGACCACATGGGCATCCCCGTGGCGCCTCACGACCCGCCACACCCACGCGCCTCGTTTAGTTCACTTCCAGGTGACAGCGTGGCCAGCCCACCCCCAGGGCCCTACCCGGAGCGGCAACCTTGTCCCTGGGGCACCTGGGCCAGGCCACCTCTCCTCTCTGAGCCTCAGTGTCTAGGAACAGGGGCTGTAAATCGTCCCCCAAGTCCAGTTCTCCCATGGGCAGGGCCAGGGCATCAGGCCGCCCTCCTAGGGGCCCATTTCCCAGCCTCCCTTGCTGCTGGRCAGGGCCATGGGCCTGCGCCCTGCCAACAGGTGGGAGGAAAGTGGAAAGGGGCTTCCTGTGGGTGCAAATAAAACAGTGAGTGAGTCACAGTCCCGTCGTGAGCCATGAGGCGCGGGTGACAGCCCCAGGTGGGACGCGCTCAGCACTTAGGCGGGGACTGTGGGATCCTAGGTGCTCCTTGGCTCCACGGGCCGAGTCTCCATGGGGGTGGGAACCCWGCACAGCTCAGGACAGTGCCCAGGGAGGGCCTCCGGAGGGGTGGCATCCAGCCTGGGTGCAGGGCCAGCGAGCCCCGGGCTCTGCAGAGGAGGGGAGCACCAGGGTCTTCTCTCTGCAGACGCAGCCGAGCTGAGCAGCGGGGAGGCCGAGGAGCTGCAGAGGATCCGATGGCACCGGGAACAGCTGCTGGAGGACATCCAGGTGTGCAGGGCGCCAGCTGCACGAGGGCCCTCCCTGCTGGCTCCCACCCCCTGATCAGAGAGCCCAGCCAGGGGCGGGAGACCAGCACAGCCTGGAAGTCCCAGGGACTGGCCAGGCTCAGGGGCCAGCCAGGCAGGGGCGGGGGAGCCATGGCAGGAAGCTGAGCCCGCTCCGCCACACGGGGGTTCCAGTCCCAGCCGAGGGGCTCCAATCAGGCCTCCTCCCCTGGAGGGGTGGACCCTTTGGTGAAAATAGCACCCAAAGTGTGCCGAGCACTTGCCAGTTTCTTGGACGGCCACTCGTCACCAGGCTTCCAGACCCCACCCGGGGTTTCTCCGGGTGCCTTACAGGGTGCTGCCTCTGAGCTACTCACGGGCAGGTCCCGCAGCCCCAGGCCCTTCCCTGCGCCCCTGGCGGCTTCTCCTTCTCTTCGTTTCCCTCCCCCTCCTCTCCAGCTGCCCTGACCACCCTGGTGACCGTGGACCGGCCTGCCCCATGTGTGCACTTAAAATCCACAAAACCACCCTCAGCTGGCATCTGGAGGGTGCCCGCCACACGCCGGGCTTTCTGTACCACTGTCTGATAATATTCTGCCACGTCATCTCACTGGCCTCTGAGGGCCACGGTCCCACCCCCAGGAGCCCTGAGCTCCGGGAAAGCAGAGTCCAGGCCTGCCTTGCCTGCCCCAAACCCGAGCCCAGGAGCCTGCGCCTCTATGTGCTCAATTAACACTTGGGAGTGAACCCCCTTCTAYTAGGGGGGAAGCCACTTGGGTCCAGCTGAGACCACGTGGACAGGAGCTGCCTGGCCTCAGATGAGCTCCCAGGCCCTCAGCTGGCCCTAAACCCCAGGACTGCTCCTGGGGAGACCGCACCCCCAGCACCCACAGGTCTTGGGAGGGGTGGGCGGGTGCCTCTCGGGGGACTTGGCTCCTGCTCATGCTGCTGCCCAGCAGGAGGAGCTGAACCAGCCTCCACCTCCCCATTGCCCAGCTGAGGTGGCCAGTGGGGCAGCGTAGAGGTTCTCCTCTGCCGTTCAGGGCCTCCAGAGGTGGCCCGCGGCACCTGGTGGGCACTTAGTCTAGGGCAACTGGAGAGAAGCCAGAGAGGAGGGGCCTGGGCATCGGGCAGGAGCTGCGGAGGCAGGAGGGAGCCGTGGGGGGACTTGAGCTGGGGGGACAGGAGGGAGCCTGGGAAAGCAGGGAGGGGACGTGTCGGGAGGGTCCCTCAGACTAGGGGCTGAGGATGAAGGTCAGGGAAGGGGCCCTGCCCGGGTCACACCAGGGTGGGAGCGGTGACGGGGTCCCCCAGCGCCCCCAGGCCTGACCTCTGGGCCCCATCTCCCCCGCCCCCACCCATCCTGCAGAAGCTGAAGGAGGAGATCGCGGATGTGTTTGCCCAGATCGACTGCTTCGAGAGCGCAGAGGAGAGGTGAGGCCCCTGCCCRCCACCGCCGCGCCACGCCCAGGCCCCGGGGGCTCCACCCCATCCAGGCTCCGCAGGGTCCCTGGGGTCCAGCCTGGTAGCCSCCGGGGAAGAGCCAGGCCCTGTCCTCTCCTCACCCAGATGGCTCCGCTGCAGGACCTGGGTCCTGGAGGCCCCCGAGGAAGGGCCTGGGCAGGTGGAGGGGGTCCTGCCGCGTCCTGGGCGGCCACTGACACCCTCACTCCCACAGCCGGATGGCCCAGAAGGAGAAGGAGCTGTGCATGGGAAGGAAGAAGTTCAACATGGACCCCGCGAAGGTACCGGCCTCCCGCGCCCTGCCCGYGGCTGCTGGGCTCCTTCCCCCAGGGACAGAGGCGCTGACCGGGGAGGAGGCAAGGCAGCCAGCAGGGGGCGCCAGGCTGGAGAGCTGGGGAGCTCCCTGGTCGGCTGAGGCCGCCTCTTCCCCAGCAGCCCTGAGTGTCACCGTCACTGATCCCGGGCCCCTGCCCCCATCCACCCGGACCCAAGCGCACACGCACACGCTCCAAGTCCCACGCACACAGACTCACTCGCTGTCCCCGGGTTCCCACACCTGCTCTGCCCACTTCCAGAAGCCTCCTGTCCAGGAGGCCCTCAGGGGCCCCCCAGGATCCAGAGACAACCCTCGGACTCCTGGACATCGGGTGACAGGCTCTGAGTGCCCGGTCATGGGCTCTGTGAAGTCACACKAGGGAAACAGGCTCCGTGGGGAGGGGGAGGCCCTTCACGGCGGCCACCTCCCGTGGGGGGCCCTGGGCAGTGTCCCCCCCCTGCTGTTTTTTTCTAACTTTTCACAGTGGCCGTAGGTCACTTGTGTGACCAAGTGAAGTTTTGGGGGGACGGAGAGCGGAATCGCTGAGTCTTAGCCACACACCGAAGCCGGTGCGGGGGACATCGGGCTGCAGGGCCCTGGGAGCCCTGGCAGGAGCCTGGCTCCCTGCGGGGACTCTGGCCCCTGGCAGCCTCCAGGCCTGGGAGCTCACAAAGGCAGCTCCTGTTCAGAGGGACGACCGAGCCCACAAGGCTGGCCCCGGGCCTGGCCGCAGGCTCCCTGCTCCCGGCCTGCCTGGGGGCAGGGGCTGCACACAGATGCCACATGTCACCTGCAGGGCATCCAGTACCTCACGGAGCACAAGCTGCTGACCCCGGACGTCCAGGACATCGCCCAGTTCCTGTATAAGGGCGAGGGCCTCAGCAAGACGGCCATCGGCACCTATCTGGGGGAGAGGTGAGGGGCTGGGGCTCAGGGAGCCAGGAACCCAGGGGTGCAGGGCAGGGAGAGTGAGCCGCCCGGGAAAGACCAGACCCAGCACCCACCGCGCTGCGCCTTCCTTCATTTACTCAGGACAGTGTGGAGCAAGCCCGGTGGCTGCTGGGCTCCAGGCACTGTGCAAGTCCTGGGTTTCCAAGACGGACCAAACTGGCCTCGGTTCCCACCAGGGGGACAGATCCCAACACACGTAAAATATGTCATAAAATGATGAGTTCCGTGGAGACCAAAGGGRAGGGAGGTCCACGAGCTGAGGACCTGGTTTGGGCTGTGGCTTTAAATAGTGTGGACGGGAAGGCTCCCAGGGAAGGTGAGGGAAACTCACAGRAGGACGGGCATGGGCAGTGCACAGATTCCAGGCAGAGAAATCAGCCAGTGCAAAGGCCCTGGGGCAGAAGCAGGCTCAAGAAACAGCACGTTGATGAGACAGAGATAGGAAGAGACAGAGGAAGGCTCCAGGAGGTGGGTACACAGCCCCGTCCCTCCGCCCTCCCAGGGACCCCACCAACCTGCAGGTCCTCCAGGCCTTCGTGGACTGCCACGAGTTTGCCAACCTCAACCTCGTCCAGGCCCTCAGGTGAGCCGTGGAGGGGGCAGGGTCTGCGGGGGGTGGGGTGGGGACATGGGGACCCACAAGCCGACCGCAGCCACCAAGGGTCAGGCAGGAAGACGAGGAGCCTGCGACCGAGGTCTGCTATGTCCTTGTCCCCAACCCACCACCAGAACCACCCTCCTGCCTACTCTGGAGCCCGTCTGCCCAGGGACAGTCCCAGCTCTGCCTCTCACGCCCTGTGTGACCTTGGGCAAGTCACAGAAAGAAACCTCTCTGGGCCCCCGGTTTCCTCCTCTGTAAATGAGCCCAAGAACAGCSCAGGCTCCCAGGGGTGTACGGACCAGGGAGAAGGTGCTCAGGGGCCGGCGAGGGCTGAGGAAGTGCTGCCGCGGGTCCTGCTCCGGGAGGGGCGCCTGGCCTGGGTGCTGGAGGGTGGGGAGGAGGCGGCAGGGAGGAAGCCCCTCCCGGGCAGCACCTTTAGAGGAGAGGAGCAGGGGGCTCGGGCTCCGGGCCCGGTCACTCGTGCACCCGCCTGTTGAGCAGGGCCTGGGTGAGCAGGTCCGGGGGCCCTGGGAGGCCCAGCCCTCGCCCCAGGACTGCGCCTGTCACTGGAACCACCCACGTGCAGAGCCCCAGGGGCGCCCAGCCAGGGAGGCCGTGCCCAGGGGCCACAGGCAGAGCCCAGGGCCAGTGGCCAGAGCAGGGGAGCCCTGAGCCCCGGGGGCGGGGGGTGTGAGGGCCTGGAAGACAGTTGCAGATTCTCTGCATCGCGCCAGGAGGGGACAGGCCTGGAGGGCAGGGGCTTTCTGGGCCCCTGGGCCGCGCCCTCTGATGCCCACCGCCCTCTTCCCCAGGCAGTTCCTCTGGAGCTTCCGGCTGCCCGGGGAGGCCCAGAAGATCGACAGGATGATGGAGGCCTTCGCCGCCCGCTACTGCCTCTGCAACCCCGGGGTCTTCCGGTCCACAGGTGCGGAGGGGGCGAGGAGAGGTGGCAGGGAGTGAGGGCACAGGAGCGGGACTAGAGCATCACCTCTGTCTGAGGGTAGGAGCAGGGGGCTCAGCGGCCCCGCAGGACGGCTTCCCAGGGGGGTAAGGTCTGAACAGGGTTTTGAAGGATGAAGAGGAGTTTGCAGGAGGTGATGGGGAGGGACTTCTCAGAGCACCGGATCTGAACCGCAGTTCCACTGGTTTGTGATTTTGGAAGCTTGGGCCTGTGACTTAACCTCCTTGTGCCTCAGTTTCCTCACCTGTGAAATGGACGTGGGGACAGCACCTGCCTCGCAGGGCCGCACAGGCCGGTCAGGAGCTTAGCCTGGGGCAGTGCTGTGGGAGGGGAATCGCGCTCTAGACCCGAGCTGCTGAAAGACTCACCTCAGACGCAGAGCTGAAGGTCAAGGGTCGGGGACTTCCCTGGCTCTGGGCCCAGGGACTGAATATTCCATAAAAGACCCAGAACAGYGACCACGGCCCCAAAGCCCCAGCCGGCCCCGCCCCAGCACAGGAATACTCCCCAGGGGGCAGCAAGGTCACTGAGCAGCACGTGACAAGCCCCAAATCCTGCCAACCCTCAGTGTTCCAGCGGGCAGGGACCGGTGGGCCGCCCAGTGGGGGAGGCGGAGCCGAGGCTGGGGAGGAGAGGACGGAGGGCGTGGGGCGCCCAGGGAGGGCCGGGGGCGCGGCTGCGGTGACRGTGGCCGGGAAAGTGGTTTGTGTGCACAGAGTCCAGCAAGAGCAGGGGCCAGGCCAGGCCTCAGGTGCCGGGCCAGGGGCAGAACGGGCTGAGTGGCCCTGGCAGGTCAGAGGTCAGCGCCATGACCGCGTCCTGCAGACACCTGCTACGTGCTGTCCTTCTCCGTCATCATGCTCAACACGGGCCTGCACAACCCCAGCGTCCGCGACAGGCCGCCTTTCGAGCGCTTCGTGTCCATGAACCGCGGCATCAACGACGGCAGCGACCTGCCCGAGGAGCAGCTCCGGGTAAGGGTCAGGGCCACCGCCTGGGTCCCGGGCAGCCAGAGGGGCCTGTCCTGAGATGATGGCCCCGGGAGGCTCCCCGGCACAGACCACGCCTGGAGGGGACGTGCSGAGGTGGACCCGCCAGGCCCGAGACGGACGGTCACAAAGGCGGTTGGTCCAGGAGTGGGTCCTGCCAGGCCCCGTCTTGGGAGGTCGTCTGGAGCCAGCCCACCCACAGGCCTTCCGGATTCAGGCCCCTGGGGGACGCGGGCGACRGCATCCACACCTTCCAGGAAGGATGCCCTGCAGACCAGGCTGCCGCTCGGAACCCCAGAGCCTCACCCTGACCCGTTCCTGGGAGCCCAGCTCCTGTCCCCTAGGTGAATGACCCTCCCGCCACACGGCACCAGGCCTGTGCCCACAGGGGGGCCTCGGGACAGCTGGACAGGCCCTGCCTGACCACTCCAAGGCCTGGCAGGAAGATCTACCCGTGAATGACAGCCCTGGCTCACGGATGCCACACTAACCGTGGGACCTGGGCACCATGGCCGTGAAAGCCCAGGGACACTGCCCAGTCCCCCGGGAGCCTCCCCAGAAGAGGTGGCTTCTGAGCTGGCCTGGTCCTGACTGGGAGTTCCCAGAGAGAAGCAGGGAGGACATTCCGGAAGGAAGCGGCACCAGGGCCCGGCCTGGCTTGGCCAGGAAGGGGAGGGGCCAGTGTGGCCAGCTGACGTGTGGCTACTGGGGGCAGGACGGTGGCAGGGGCCCCATGTCCAGGGCCTTGAATGACAGAACCAGGGGTTGATAAACACCGGAGGGAGGGAGGGGCGAGGCCTGGTCAGGTGAGCGCCAGTTCCCRTCCAGAACTCGAGGCCCCGAGGCTCCACGGCCCAGTGCCCACCAGGGTCCTCCTGCCTCAGGGCCTGGCGGGGCTGCGACGGTTCTGGGCCTCGGTTCTGGGCCTCTCGGGGCTGGAGTGCATCCTCCCCCGCCCTCCGCCACCTCTGTCCCCAGAGGAGAGAGTTGGTCACAGAGGGATCGCMATAGAGAGCCGGGAGCTGAGAGCTGGCTGGAGCCCCATGTCCCCCCGACTGCCCACTGGGTGACCTCAGGTCACTGGGGTCTAAGCTACTTCCCCCCCCCCGGGCAGCTGGGTTCTAAGGCCCGTCACAAGGAGGCCACTGCAAGGGGAATGTGCCAGGCAGGTGCCCGGGGCCGGCACACCTAGGCCACCGCAGGTGATGAGCTCCACGCCGCCAGCTCTCCCGGTCCAGGTCGCTGTCCTTGCCGGGACCCTCTTCCCACCCCCTCCCTGGGCACTTTTCCCAGTTCCAGCCTTTCCTCGAGAGCACTGGGCCACATCTGGTCACATCTGCCCAGAGCTTGTGACTTTCTCCCAGGGCTCTGGGTCCCTGACCTCCCCTGAGCCTCCAAATCCGCAGACCTGCCCCTTCTCCTCCCGGGCAGAGCCTCGTCCAGCCCGGGCTGCCCGTCCTCTGGGCCGTGTCAGGCAGCACCTGACCTCTCTGAGCACGTCCAAGGGCCTGGGGTGGCCGGGGTGGCTCGTCAACCTCGAAGCTCCCCTGGGCGTCATCAGAGAGCACAGGCCTGGTCTGCGCCGTCACAGGGGCCTGGTGGGCGTCATCTGCTCTCAGGGCCAATGCCCCTGACCCACAGTGTCATCTGAGAAGCTGCGTCTGGCACTCAGCGGGACTTGGGAGGGTCACCGTGCTCCCTGGGAGCCACTGGGAAGGGAGCCGGGGGCAGGGGTGGGGCCGCGAGGGACCCGGGAACAGGTGGGGAAGTGGAGGTGGCCAGGTGGAGGGCCTCCCAGCTCCGGGCCTCCTCTGCTCTCGGCAGCCCTTGAGCCCCCGGGTCCTCATCCTGGGCTCTGATCGGAGCAGACCGTGAGCCCAGCACAGTGTCGAGCACATCCTGGTGGCCGTGAGCTCCCGCCTCCCCGCTGGACAGCCAAGGACACTGGGCTCCAGGGAGGAGGCTGCCGAGTCTCCTGGCTTCTGACCCAGAGCATCTCCCTCTGCAGAGATGCCAAGCAGAGTCTGGGGACAGAGGCCTGGCTGAGCTGGCCCGGGGTCCTTACTTCTTGGTGGGGGGAATCTCAACTCATGTCGCTGAAAAGACCAGGGGTCAATTAGCCTTCCGACTGTGGGCTTCAGGCTCGGCTGGCTCCTGGGGCTCAGGGCCGTCGCTGCTCCGCCTGGGGGCTCCATCTCTTAGCCCCCTCCTCCATGGCTCTCCTCCTAAACACGCTGTGCCCGAGCCCTGCCAGAGATGGCCTGGGCAGCTCTGAGCCTCGGACTTGCTTAGCTTCCCTGTCGCTTCACTGTTTGAGTCCAGAATTGAGGCTTATCGACCGGCTTGGGTGGCAGGACCCCCCAAACCGTCACTGCAGCTGGCGGTAGGAGCCAGCAGGTCCCCATCAGCCAGATGTGAGTCATCTCCCCCCTAGAGCCCAGGGCGCAACCAGGAGAAGAGAGGGGACTCCCCAGAGAGGGGAGTGGGGGCCACCAAGGGCCCAGCAGAGCCCCTGGGGGGGAGGGGGCTTCTGCACGTCCACGCAGCCAGGAGGGTGGCTGGGCCKTGGACTTTGGGGACAGTGGTGAGGGTGTCTGGCGGGGAGCCGTTGTCTGTGAGGTACAGGAAGCCCGCGAGCAGAGCTGCTTTCTTTGTGGGGTAGAAGGTACGAGCTGATAAGGCCACCAGGCCACCGCAGCGTCTGCAGGGCCCCTGTGGTCTGTGGAGGCTGAGGCTGCCTCCTCACCCCCATCCCCCTCCCCCTGGCCCCCCCCAAATGCGCGTCTGACATCTCTACGATGGGCCCCTCCTGCTGCAGTCCCCTGCTCCCCCACCAGTGCCACCTGGAAATTCCCAGGGCGAGTCCAGCCTGGGGACAGGGGCTCCCCCAAGAGRCACTGGTCCCTGGTGCTCCCCACGGCCCAGCACTGCAGCCAGGCGGAGCCAGGGGACGTGCCCAGGCCCCCCTCCATGAAGGCCAGGAGAGCCTGATGCTGGGCCCTGAGCTCTGGGTCACAAAGGACCACACAGCGGCCGGCACCATGGTTCAGGACTCTGGGAGAATCGACAGGACTTGGGTAATTTTCCATTTAAAACCTCGAGRAACCATCAACAGCAACGGAGGCAGCAGACGGAAGTGGTTGACTCTCTTGGCCAACATCCTGCCTGGCTTTACCAGGCAGAGCAGCCACCGAGAATGCGCCCCCCGACACTCGGGAGGCGGGAGGTTGCTCAGGGCAGGAGATGGAAACCCAGCAGCTGCAGCTGGCCCGCYCAGGGGTCCTGGCCCTGACTTGCTCACCTCCAGTGACGGGGAGCTCATTACCACCCTGCAAGGTTGCTCCACCCAGATTTCAGAGCCCTCGCTGCCAGAACGTCTTCACGGAGGACTGAAATCTGCTTTCYGGTCCCCACAGTCAGAGCCCACCAGACAGGGCGGCGGGAGAGGGCCTTGGAGAGCCGTGGTCAGCCTCCCGCCCGGGGCTCCCCTTCTGCCAGCCCAGTGTGCATCTGGAAAGTTCTGTCGCAGAAGAGGGGGCCATCCACCATGGCATTGCCC